ATCGGTTTTTCACTCTCGACTCGTTCCTCTCCATAAAAATCAAAACTTTGGAGCGAGCAAATAACAACATTTAACTAGTGAGCCTAGATGCAATGCTGATACTAATTTTTTACACTATTTAATGGATGTTATTATAAATATAAACCTTCCTCTTCAATCACTTCATCTATTAAAAAACCGCATCAAAATCTGTTGCGTAGTTTTGAAGATACTAATACATAGGCATATAGGGACAGAGAAAGCGACTTTATACAATGTAGTGATTATTTTGTTTGAAGTTCAAATGTGCCTCTAATGGTCAATTTGAAATAAAATGGTTTGAAGTCGAGTTTGAACTTTGAGGTTTGGTAGTAATTTGTTTAAATTGGATAAAAAATGCTATTGCCATTTTTAGAAGTCTTTCGGTAGTTCCTATCGTGTTCTTTGTCATTTAATAGTATTTTCCAGCTACTATTTTGCTAATTGGATTAGTTTCCTAGTATTGCACTCTGCTATCTATCTGAAGCTTTCGCATGGTTGAACCAATGCTGCTAATTATTAGACCCGTTGAACTAAAATAGGGTTTTCAATTCTGCTTCGGCATATCTTTTAAGTACGAATTAAAAGACACAAAAATATAATTTACTTTTCTACTTGTTTAACGTACATAACTAAATGACATTTTACCTTTCTATGTGTAAAACACAGATTATAAAACTTAAAGCAGATGGACCGCACGGAACAATAATGTGAAGCCGGCGTGGTAGACATGTGTGCATGACAGCTTTATAAAAACACGTTTTCTCGGTGTGCGTTGCGGTTGCCAAATAATAACAAAATTACCCACAATAAGTCATTGTCTACCTATAAATGAAAAATTAATTTTCGATATTTATTACCCAACTTTTTAAACCTATTTAGGTAAATCTTTTTTGTTGTGTTCTTTAATTGTCCAGACCAGGGCGGTAAGAAATAGTTTCCAAATAAAAAAATGGTATTGCAAATAAAATGGAAATGATTTAATTATTGTGAATAATGTTAATTTAATTATGGTCGTAAATAAGTAGCATATCCATCAAACTATGACTAATACTATATATAACATAATTTGGTTATGACTTATGTCGTCCGGTCAAATTATTGGTCAAAAAAAAAGTACATACAAACACACCAATCAAAAAGTGAGACAAACCAAAACATTATATTCGAAGTATTTTTGTAAATCGATAATCCCGTTTCCCATCGTGTTACCCAACATAAGGGTAAAAGATTTCAAAGTACTCTAGCAACACCGACCAACGTTTCTTAAGGTTTAGTGTTCCAAGAATTAAAAATAATTACGTAAAATAATATCCAAATAGACAACTAATCAATAGTTATCAATGAAAAGATATTCTAAAGATGATATATAATATAAGATATATAAGTAAAGATAAGATTTCTCTTTATTTTCATATTTGGGAACAATTTTTACAATATTTGGAAGAAGGCGTTATTCTCAAAAATATAAATATTATTTAGGCATCTCGCCTAGTTTGGGGACCGCCGCTCCTAAAATCAATGTCCGCTAACAACGCTAAGTTACAACAAACAATTGTACCTAATAATAACTAAATGTTAAGGCAAACTTATGTAACTGTAGATAAATAAAATAAATTAAAAAAATCTAGGAATTACTAACGATTTGCTTCGTGATGTACTGACTCGAGTTTGTATTCGCTTTTGAATTTGTTTTTGCTTTGGTGGCTTCACTTTCGTTTTCAGCATCTGTCTTTGTTCTGTAATCGATTTGTGATAGGCTTATTCAAATTTAAAAACTATCACCCGGTTTCTGAAAGGCTTGTCAACGCTAAAATTAACTAATCTCCTATTAAATCTCTTGGCAAGTCATCTGGTTGGTAGTTGATAATTCAGTCAACCAATCAGATTGCTTGACAAGAGATTAAATTGATTTTAACATTGATCGGCCTTTCGGAAACCGGGTGTATGTGTTTTTTTTATTTAACTTCTGTTTTGTGTATGAGAATTTTTCAAGGTGGTTCATTTTGATTATAAATGAATTATCAAGCTTTGAAATTAACTGCTAATTACTTGGAAGCCCATAAAGAAGTCAATTAAGAGGATAAAGGACTTTAGGAGAGGCATAACTGTCCACATAAGTCACAATTAACATGAACTAAACAGCGAGAAACATCAATGGTTTTCCTTTTACGTAAATTAAATAGCGTTGCCAACTTATTAATACTACAATGGCGCTTGGTTATTCCGCATCTACGAGCAAATGAATAAACGGCGCCATCGTTCATTTGCCAGTTAATTATTTATGATCAGTCCAACATCGCGCGACGGTGCGTGCAAACGTGTTTTTAGCATTTATCTCGATATAAAAACACTTGTTTTTGTCGTGTTTTCGCGTGCACATACTTGGGAGAACCAACAGGTATTATTGCGAAGGTTGTTTCGGTGAAATTTTTAATCTTGTGTGTGATTAATTAGAGTTCAGTTTTGTGGTGTACCTTTATTTCCATCTCAAGCTTGTGTTTCAAGTGGAATTGTTAAGGTCTCTTAAGTGTAGTGATTAGTTTTAATTGTACCGATTGTTTGTCTACTTTTACCGCTTAGAAGGCATCAGTGCGGCAGATAGTTTTGTCAAAAATATCATGTATATTTAATTGATTTAGGATTTTCCCAAGTTCTGGTTAATAACTCGTTTTTTGTTTATGTATATGCGTACAAATTATCTTTATCTCACATGTAGAGATAAAGGCATGTTTTGATTTTTTTTATTTACTTCACGTGCTTCGTCCACTTTTATCATCTCTCGATGTAAGCTATTCGGTTTTGGTAATTATAAATTTGACCCCTTTTTAATACCACACCAATGTTTTCCAATTTTTATCCTAGACAACCTTTATTAATATCTCCTTTCTCTCGGTCGGTACATTGGTCTATACGGCACCTAATGTGGCTATATCTTCCAAATCATCGCTAAGGCCATCCAGTGATTTATTTACTCCCTAAACCGTTTACCGTATTACAAAAATAAAAGATACTGGCATGTTGATTATTAATCTGTTTGACTTAGTTATTGAAAGACTTTGAACTTTCAAACTTCAAAATTCAAAAAGTCACGCCTGACTCATAAGCAGGTTTTGGGGAGTTCTGAACTCCATTATCCACATCATCAAAGTCGTCACTATCTTTATAATCACACACCAGCTCATGGATTGGAAGAATCTTCGATCACCCATCCATATATTAACCTTGTTAAACGCACGCTGACTTAGCTACGCACATTGATAAGATTGACAGCAGTTTAATGTAAATAGCTTATTATAACGTGTCTGTATACATAAAACTAGTTTTGAACTAAAATGCCTTCCGGTTTTTCTCACGGCCAACAATGTTTCTTTAGGATTTTCTCATAATCTCAGTTATTTAGTTATTATCTGTTATAAAGTTGAAGATGTTATCAATTTGAAGCCTAATCAAGATAGCGTATTATTATTCTCATTATGCGACTGAATTTTCAATGTTGTTAGATGGAAGGGTGCGTTGTCTAGTGGATGGATTGAGTTTATGTTCCTGAGATGGGTAAAATCTTTGGGTGAAATGTCTGAAGTTTTTTGACAGTCGAAATTAATAGATGTTTTTGATCCAAAATCTTGTCCTGGAGGTTTCAGCGCCCGCAAATGGTTTTTGGAACAATATTTAGATTCTTAGATGATTTGGATACCGTTAAAGCACGATGAGGGAAAATATAGCGAGGAAACCTGGACGTGTTATTTCTAATATCAGGTCTAAATCGCCAAACCGACTTGATCTAACGCGGTGATTAATGTTCAAATCTTCTCCGTGTGAAAAGCGCTTTTTGCTCGAAAGTGGGTGATCAGATGTTCACAGAAACTACTTGCAAGTTATGTGTTTCTGAATTTAAAATATTTTGGACTGAATTTATGGATTTGGGCATGTTTAACGATGTAATGAATGATAACTTTAATTTAAGTTTAATTTCATAATCGTGATTTATTTAAATTGTATTTTGAAATAACGAGGAAACCTTTAAAAAGTTGACACACAATACATTACCACCCTGTAATTTTCCGTTCATCAATCAATTTTGGTCCTTTTATTGTTATCTTTTATGTATAAAGTGCTTCATTAATTTGATTGGATTGAAGTATGTTGAACTTGAAGCGATGCCTTAAATATATTGTAGGTATTGTCTCTCATTTCGTTGACATGTCACTGCATCAAATAGTTCAATTTTATTTTATTTATTTTTATTTTATATATTTAAAACAATAAATTGGTCTGTTCCATTTTGTCTGAATTGGGACCAAACAATTTTGTCCAATGTTCCTCAGAAGAAGGTTCGGTCGGTCTCCCAAAAGCAGCTGTGAAATTATTCAAGTTAAAGAAGTGGTTCGAAATATTTTTTATATTCGAAATATTTCCTTCACTGCTATGTATATATACATAACTCTAACACCATGCCCCGAACTCGAAGGTGATAGCCATTTTACCTGGTTAGGTTTTTCCACGTGTATCTTCGATTCAGATCGCGTTTACCCCAATAGTCATCGGTTCAGCTACAAATTGTGCTTTGATTCTTAGCGAGATCGCCTCCAAAGATTGTTTATTCGTGTTTCTTCATCACTATATCACGAACACTGGCGCCTTTTCTGTCCCTATGCATGCTTAAACGTTAAAAACTCCGCAACGGATTATGATTGCTTTTAATAGATAGAGTGATCGAAGAGGAAGGTTTATACCTAAGTATAATAACATCCATTGAATAAAGGAGAAATTTAGTATCAGCATTGCAATTTTGTGCTAACCTAGGTCACTAGTTAAACCATAAGTCTATTTTCGAATTTAGATTTTCTCTATTGTCATTAAAAGATTTGATACTTAATGCTTAAGTGGAAAATACATTAATGTCTAGTACAAATAAGATTTCGAATTGTTTGCAGTGAAATTCGTTAGTCATTTGACGTAACATGAAATGTTTTTTGCAGCATTCCACGGAGGAGGGGGGCGGGGGGCGGCGTGGGTTGATCGACGTGAGCGCAGGCGCAGGCGACATGTGGATCAGCGCCGTCGAGAGCTCCATACTGGCCTGGGAGGAGGTAGGTCCAGCTTTTCTTTTGAAAAATTTGTACTAACTAGGTATTATGATAAAAAGCCTGTGTCCTATTCTGGAGTGTAGCCTATGCCTGTGCCAAATTTAATCCAGATCCGTCCAGCCGTTTTGGCGTGATTGAGTAACAAACATCCAAACATCGTACCTTTCGCATTTATAATATTAGTACGATAAACTTTGTATTCTAATATCACATTAGTGGTAGTTATCTAGATTATGAGATTGATCATTGAAAGATCTGTCTATGACATATTTGCCAGTAGCTTAGGCAACTTGAAGTTAAAAATTTTCGTAGGCAACTTGACATTTCGTTCGTGGTTTGAAAAAAAAAATAGAAATTTTATCTCTACTGATACAACTCGCTGAAAGGCAGACTGCATCGGATCTTACTAGCAGACCCAGCCACGCGTTGCTGAGGCTAAGTAAATAATACTGTGACTATAAATTGAGATGTAAGCTATTCTATATTTCAAGTTGGATCAAAATGCACACGGAATGCAAATCAAATTAATATCGGTTTAGTAGTTTAGGAGTCCATTGCGGACAAACTCGTGACATGTCATTTTTATATAAAAGGATTTGTAAGCGAAAATAAAGAATCAGCTGACATTCAACCTTAAAAGAGAAAAACTTATTGAAAGTGGTAAAAAATGTCCCACCTATGTATGTCCCTTTATCGCATTTCAGTAAAAGTAGACCTATAAATTTATACAGGTATCCAGGTGTCAACTCAATTATAAAAAGGTCAAACAAACCAACAGTTATCACACCGAGCTTGTTTGCTCACGGAAATGAAAAACTCGATCATATCACGCTATATCGAATGAAGTCGTGTTTCTTTTTGTTACCGTATCGATTAATATGATATAGTTATTCGGCCACGATACTTACATGAGCATTTGGTTTAGGATTTATTTCGTAGGTAATGAATATTCTTAGACTGGCGAGAAATAATATCCGTATTTTTTTCGGTCTTTTTTCAATTAAACATTGTTTTATTGGTAATTGCTTTAGAATTTTGTAGAATACGTTATTATGGTTTATATTCTTTGTCGGATGAATAGTCATTTTAGCGATTGTTGATAAAACTAAGGTATGAAAAATTCATGATACGCCTTACTTGTTTCCATTTCATAAAAAACTTTACACTTTTATTAAATTTCTAAACGACTAATGATTTTCTTGTTCATCAGATGGTGCTGATTTAAATTAATGTTTATCCAATCAAAATTGCTCTCAAAAATTGGTAGTCCAATGTGCTCATTATCAAAAAGTTCACTGAACAAGAGACGTCACTCTATACTGCCAATCCTTTGCGGCGCGCAAATTAAAATTAATTCACTTTCCTTCAAGGCGAATATGAGGCAAATAAAATAAAAAATTGCCTCCATAAAAAAGCAAAGTCAAATCATATATTTCAATTAGTTAATTATATATAATATATGTCACTTTTCAACGTCAAACGAAGATTTGAAGATCAAAACGCCAGACTATCGGTCGGTCCTCTTAGTGAAGCTATTTGCTACATTCCAAAGTGTAGATTCCGATGAAGAAGCACAACTATCATCACATGCGACATATCGTCAACGTCAACCTGAACCATTTTTTAATTATTTATTCACAAAATAGTTTTACATTACTAACTTACATCAAAAATCGCCAAACTGTAAGACAGTTTGTTGGCGATAGTGGCGCTCTTATGTTTTACAATATTGTTAATTATTACTATTATAGGTACATAAAAGATATCTTTAATTTATTTATTTTTATATCTAAGACAATACAATTAATTTTAATTTATGTGTTTAGCATATTTAAAAATTCCGTTTTCAGTCTTTTCTTTAGGGTTAATGTGCTTAGGGTATCACTGTTATTTCATATGAACGCTATTTTATTATAAATTATTGGGGTCAAATACTGCCTAGTTCTTTTTCCATAGTAATTTTTAACCTTTGGTATTACAAATTTACCCTGTGCAGCTCTCCTGGTATGATAACTATGTGTTACAGGTTCTTTGTATTTACTTGTACTGTACTGTTCCATAGCTATAAGGTATTCTACTGTGGTATATACTGGTAATATTTTACAAATGTTGTACAATCTCTCATAGTTCGGTTTACATTTCAATCTAACTTTTTTGCTTACAAGATATTTTATTAGTCTAGTTTGCAATTGTTTTATGTAATCAAGTTGAGTTTTGAATGTGAGTCCGTAACTACTTAGTCCATATCCAATTAGCGAGTCTGCGAGTGCATAATATAATACATACAATATTTTTCTATTTACAAATCTATTCAGATGAAAGAATTTAACGTGTGATTTCCAGTTAAAATGAATTTAAAATTTCGTTATTAATTATCAAATTTACTAAGCCACGTGTTTCACGGACTGTTATGATGATTTCCACATGACAATGATGACTGTGGCCTTATCTGTTTAGATATTCAAGTGGTCTAGATAACGATTTGTAATCTCTAGGACGGACTAATACTAGACATTATTTGTAATCGGATTTTCTTCTAAATAAACTAAACATTACGTTGTTAATTTTCGGTTTGTTATGCAAATCTCTACCTAGTTATTGATATTATAAAGCTTAATAGTAGATTTGTTAGATTTCTTCCGTCTGTACCTAAATATTCTTACAACAAGGCGACTTCTAAATTAAAGAATTATCTTATCAAATTGTACGTACGTATCTTTATTGGAACTGTCGGTGTCTTTTTGTTTATAAGCTATGAAGTTGAGTGGGTTCCCGCTTGAACTGAATTGATTTGATCTTTTATTAGATATGATAATTTTGCCTTGATAGTCGAGTGGTTGTGAGCGTAACTATTGAACGGGAAGTATTGAGATTGACTGCTACATCACAAGTTACGAATAAACGTATGTTTCACATCATTATCAGCCTGTGTCCGTACATTGCTGGACATAGGCCTCTCGAATTGCACCCCACTGAGCTCGATATTCAGCTCTTTTTATCCAATCACTTCCAGCCGCCTCACGGATATCGTCAGTCTATCTAGCTGGAGGGTGCCCGACACTTCTAGGGCGTGTGCCTCGTGCTTCACTATATCTGATACATAGTGACTTCTCAGATATTGTGGAACAGCGTTGTTTCAGGTCTGGGTGGCTTGTGTATAGTGTGTATTAGTGTTTGCAACCGCCCACAACATAAGAAAATACTAGTGTGGGGTACAAAGTTTAATTGAAAAAAGAAATACATTTTCCAATTGTAATATTAAGAGTATATCAATATCAAGAGCATCGTCATACAGCTTCTGCTCTTCACAGTAAATTATTTATCTCGCCTCATAATTTAATATTTTAATCACTTTACATCATTTCATTTCGGAAAGACTAGGGTGATAATTTCACTATCAAAATAGCACTCTGTCGATTGAAAGTAAACAGATGGCGATGATGACTCATTATTTATATGTTGCTGTCATGTTGTCAATATTTTACATGTGTATAAGTAAATAGATTAATTATGTATGTGATGACAATATTTACAGAGCTAGGTGTACATATATGTATGATATGACATAGTTACGATTTGTAACAGTCTCTGTCTTTTTGTGTTATATCTGTCGTCGTGTGTCGCGCGATGCTGCTCATGAATGTAAGCCCCTAGCTGGCTTGAAACTATTCGAGCTCTTTATCAAATATTTTCTTGAGTAGGCCTTTAAAGATTAAGTACGTATGTAAGTTGTAATAATGTTAAAAGAAAAGCGACCGCAATCAGGCTTCAGTGTTTTGTTCTAAAATAATAAGCTGAAGATACGATTGAGTCACAATTTTGAATTTTTGGAAAGTAACAATCGATCAAAAGATCAGTGCACTCTCGCTTGTTTATTATTAATCAAAAGTCACAAATCGTCTTATTGAAATAAGACATCAAACGAAATTGAAAAAAACATTGTTGCTAAGCTCATCAACTTCTATCGAAAAAAAAAACGTTTATTCTGCTTTAATACAATTGGAATGACCGATAAAACATCGTTTAATCTAAATAGTGGCAGTCAATTCGATTGTCATCGGTCAATCGATTGCTACTAGTGGACGAATGACGCGACATGTGGAAAGCAATTTGTATGTTGAAGTCGTTTTATATTGTACTAGCCAGTCCCGCGCGGTTTCACCCGTGGCTCGACTCCATTTGATCGTAGCGTGATGTTTTATAGCGTATAGCAATCAGGAACATTGTAGCTATCAACAATTTTGGAAAACCGACCTGCGGTTCCAAAGATTATCCCCTACATGCAAACTAAAACGTAACTATACCAAAGAACTAAACATCGTAACTTTCGCATTTATAATGCATGCAGTGTGTTAAATGTATATGGTGTGAAATTGTGACTAGTAGGATTTTGGTTTGAAGGATTGTGACTTGTAGGATTGTGAAATACAGGACTCCCACATGTCGATGTACCTCTTTGATTTTAGTCTAACACCTAGTACCTACCTACATTATGGATTGCAATAAAGAACAAACTTCAACCTATTTGGTACGAGATCTTAGTTCAATCGTCAAATGAGAACATTTGACCGATCAGACGTCATTATTAGATTTATTTGTCTTCTTTGTTATTTGTGGTAGGCTTCCAATATTTTTGCGCTGTTGCAGCTGAAAACATAATGAAATAAATATGTTAAACGTAACTTTGTAAACTTTTTTAAAAAACTACAGATCTATTTCACTCCTGAGTCATGTGTATAAGCTGTTCTCGAGGGTCATCACGAACCGTCTCGAACGCAGACTCGATAACTTCCAGCCTCCCGAACAAGCTGGGTTCCGGAAGGGCTTTAGCACCATGGAACACATGCATACGCTTTGCCAGATTGAACACCATGCTCATCGACCTTGCTGTCATTTCCCAACAGGTGGGTCTGAAAATGAACATGGACAAGACGAAAATCATGTCTAATGTCCATGTTGCACCTGTACCGGTCATCGTTGGGAACGACATCCTTGAAGTTGTA